CTATGATAAGTGTACGTAGAGAACTTTTAAAATAATCCCAACCTTCGCAATATCCATTACTCATATCACGCACTGTATATATCCCAGCTGAAGGTGCAGTTGCAGTTTAGGTGCAGTTTACTGAAACTCTTTAAAACCTCGATTACAAAATATTTTTTTGAAGGCAACTTGGCTCCTTAAAACAAATATTGATAAGTTATCTTTGTGCGGTATACGCGTGCCAAACATAATGCCCATGTGACAGGCCTTCATGCTCCCAGTATTGAACCTTACATGTCGGCCACATCACAACTGAACTTCATCAACTTCAAACACGCGCGTCATTCATGCAGCCATACAATGACGTTAATTACTGTTCTGGCCGACTGGTTACACTTCGATTCTCCAAAGGTCAATGTTACGGTGTACTTACATCACAGTCAAGTAAAAGAGAAAAAAAAGGGAAAAAACAGCTGGTTACAATTTTGTATGGTTATTCACCAAACCACTTACCATTTTTTATGTGAAATGCACATTGCCCATAATATTAGTTTGTCAAGTGAAATAAACTTCGCAGTGTGGCGACTTCACAAGCAACTTTTTCTGAGTTGCGTATGTATTCCCTACGCCTACGCGTGCGATTTCTGATGGTCCCGTTTAAACCTCACGCTTAATGCTGTGTCACACTTCCTATACACGTACCGCAAGCCGCGGGACTTACCCTCCTCCATGCAGTAAAACGCGGGGGTGGGATACGCACGCGCCCCGTAATGGCCGAGGCAATCATACGGGCCTTTTAATTTAAAGAGCAATGACCCTCAACTTTTTTTCTTTGAACCTACCAATACCACGATGACACGGGCCCTAGTAAACCTCGCACCGCCCTGCAAACTACAGGGATGTTACTGGTAGCGCGTGCGATGGCTTTCGATGCATGGGTTCGTGAAGTGCTGGTCAAATCTCTGCTCGTCTGTTATAGTCTGTTGTCGATGTCCAGAGCTACGGCTACGTCTATTGTCAACCTGTTCCGTACGCGTAATTTTTATTCCTAGGAGGGTTAGGGGCAATGTCATGAATAATTCATGTTTATCCATGAGAACGGACAATGACATCAACAGCATTGTTGTTAGTTACTCAACTAGTTACAATACATTAAAGCATTTTAAAGAACGGTTGTCGTCGAGCTACCACACAGTAGCCTAGTGGATAGCGAGATGAGCTATGGATACAAAGATCCCTGGTTCGAATCCACGTCGTCGCTGCTCATTTTCATCAGCTATTTTTCGTCTCCAAATTTATCACTGAGATAATTTTAAATTAAGGGGAAAATAGAACGAGAACCTAAGTCTTGCAATGATTCAAAGGAAAAACTGAATTATTCATGACATTGCCCCTAACCCTCCTAGGGAAAAAAATTACACGTTCCGTACGTAGTTGTGTAATTATTGTCGAAGATCTCGACAAAAGCGGACAAGAGATTCGCGATAGTGTTGGTCCAAGATAGGATTGGGATGTTAAACCTAGTAATATAGCCGGTCCCTTAAAGCGTGGTGCAACTAAATGACTCAAATCCAGTATTGGGAACGTCGGCAGCGCCAGAGTGTAATTGTGGAGACTAATTGCGGTTTACAGACCACGGCTTAATTGCCGCTTTGGCTTCACCCCCCCCCCCTTTTTAAGACGCCCCTTACGTCCTGAACAAAATGACAATATTACACAAAACATTGTTCTTGTGTAACCAATCATTAGTTTAATTTGAGTCTGTCAAATTAGACGCTCAATCATGAAGCTGGAAGCCTGAAAGCCGAAGCTGGTGTAAATCCAAGGTTTGTACAATGGTTATGTTTCCGCCATTGTCGAGATAAGAACAGGCGAGACTCATTCGCGCACGAGTTTGACGTAGGTCACGACGCCCACGCACTGTCTTTCCAGGGAGGGGATTCCCCTGGAATGCCCAGGATTCCCCCAGCATGGATAACTCGGAAATGCCAAAGTGTCAACCCGCCGAGATTTCTGCTCTGACTTTCTGTCTTTCTCCTACTATGTTATAAGTCAAAACGAAGACAACTCGAATGCCGGAAACGAATGTTCATGTCGTATGTTTGTTTTTCACGCAGTTGTATATTTATTTCCGAAGAAGGGGTTTCCTTATTGTAATCATGTACGTTTATCTCATGTCAACATACACGAGATGTTGTGGTGTGTTATTAAATCCGGACTACATTGTTTTCTTTAAAGTTTGGTATTGTAGATATTGAATGTATCTGGTCGTTGTTTTTCCTGTTTTTGGAAGTATACAGGGTGGATAAAAAAAACACGAAACCGAGATATTATTGCTAATTGGAACAGAAGTAGGGCACATGTGAATCAAAGGGAGATATCCTCTGTTAGGCTTGAAAACCCTCTTTAAAATGACACCCTGATCATGTCATTACATTCACGGCTGACTGAGCAGTGACTAATTTTATGAAAGGGTCTATTTAGAGAGTTGCGCCACTTTTCATGGAGAAATCTCTCTTTTTTCCCCACCTGCCTTGATTGGCAACCATAGCCTTTCACTCTGTGACAAATGACACCACATAAACCACAATTGAAAAGTGGCGCAAGTCTCTAAATTGACCCTTTCATAAAATCGGTCACTGCTCAGTCAACCGTGAATGTAATGACATGATCAGGGTGTCATTTTGAGGAGGAGATTCAAGCCTAAGGCCAAAAAAAAAGTCTCCGGTTTCTGGTATGGAGCTTGCCCAAAAAGTGGTGCGGCGACGCGGCTTTTTTTTTTTTTTTACCTGTTTTATTTTGCTTCAAATGTCGGCTGAGGACTGCAATTGGTGCCCGACTAAACTTAGTGGAAATATATGGAAGTCCAGAGAGGCCACATAAAGCTTATTCTCGATCATAACCCCATCTAAAAACACGTTAAAATTGTGCAGCAGCAGGAATCCAGTCAAACCAGTGAGTTTGGCAGTTTTGAGACATCATCTTTTATTGAAAAAAAAATTTTTCATTTTGCCGACGCGCATGGCTACGGCGACGCGCGCGCATACCAGAAACCGGAGACTTATTTTGTTTGGCCTAACAGAGGATATCTCCCTTTGATTCAAATGTGCCCTAGTTCTGTTCCAATTAGCAATAATATCTCGGTTTCATTTTTTTTTGATCCACCATGTGCGGGTGATGGGTATGGAGTCAGTCGAGTCTATCACAAGTCCCTGCAAGTCCATCACAAGTTCATCCCAAGTCCTCCAGTCTCACGTGAAGTTGCAGCCTTATGCACGAGTTGGTCATTTAAGTCGAGTTCCCCGAATGTATTTAATTATTTGTTAACTGTTGAATGAGATGCGCCAGACTATTAAATGCAGGCATAATGCAGCCTTATTAAACTGTCATTTTTAAAAATCTTGCTGTAAACGTTAGGTATTGTTTAATTACAAGTTTTAAACTATTCATTGATATATTATTCATTGATAGCATTGAAGGTATGAATTTCGACTTTGTCAAAATGGAACGATCACTCCGACTAACGAAGTGAGTAATGTGTCACATTAAAGGCAGCTTATTTAGAGTTCCATTGGGTTGAAGAACAAAAAATGGCAAGCATCCCCGTCTGTAGCCACGTACATGCATAGTTAGTTACCTAATGCGCAAGCGCAAACATATCACATGATTGAAATAATTTATCACGTGATGTGGGATTTGAGATGGCCTGGAGGCTATTAATGGCGGTATATTTGGAAACACCTGATGCCATATCGGTTCGAGTCGTATAGGGGTAAATGTCCCCCTTTTTCCCCCAAATGTTGATTTCCGTTCTTTCATAATCGTGCTACCAGCAGATTTCTTTTCAGTGCAATAAACGTCACCTGTTGTTTCCGATTCATGACTCTGAATGAATTCAGCTTACCCCAGAGGGCCAGCCTATGTGTCCTCTTTGCACCATTCTGTCACTTGTGATTCAGACCTGCTTTATCCCAAAAAGTATGACTCAAATGACTACCTAGACCCCTCAGACTAAACTTGTGTGGGACAAACTTTTCTAAGCTTAACTAGTCTGGGTTTTAATGAGCAGTAAAGTCCAAGATCCGTTCATTAACATGTGGCGCGAGCGCATTATGGTCGGTGCCTAATTGAGGTCGGTGTCACTGAGATTTGGACTCCCATATCGTTTGTACCTTACATGGACTGTATACCCTCACAAAATGACCCGTCAGGCTGTCATTGTCCTAACTAATGTTCGCTAAAGGCATGCCCAATACAACCGACGAGTCCCAATTTAGCACCGGATGTGGGAATAGTGTTCGAGTCTTCCATTGAGCCATTTTGTCTGGTTTACTTAAATTATTGTTTCTGGTGTCAAGAAAACAAACGATTCCTTAAAACAAAAAGCCGAATGCTCTGTAGTTCTCATACCTGAGGAAAACTGTAGAGAGTAAATGATGAAGGTGTGTACTGTTTTAGAGGTGTATGTATGGGAAGAAAACGCCGGTTTTTATTTTATTTTATTTTAATTTTATTTATTATATATATATTTTTTTGGGGGGGGGGGGGGGAGACCCACGCAATCGTGTCCGAGGATCCGACGTTCACGTGTGCAGAGCCACACTACAAACGGATAATATAGCCTTGCATTTACGGTGCATGTAAATTGTATACAACCCCACGTGGCAGTCAATCGAAGCCGCCTTTAAAATTTGTGTCGTCATTTCAGAGTAGAAATTTGGTTGATTGTTTAATAGCAGCCAATTTGTTCTCAAAGACACGATAGAATTAGGAGTCAGCTGAATGGTCAGAATCTGGAGGTCAAGATGCAGTGTTTTGCATAATCTGCGCGCACATCGTAGATCCGTACACACTACATGCAATCGGGCTTGAACTGAAGACACAATCCGCAATATATGTCGGCGTTGATTGAATTCAAATCCAGGTCACAGAGGTGAAAGTATTTTGTGACGTGCACTCTTGCAGTGTGCATATTTGTTTGATAATTGTTTTAAATTATGAACTTGTGCATTGCATTGCAGATTCGGCTCCTTCAAACCTCGTGGCCCCGCCCTCCAGATTACCGCCTGCTCTGCCGCAGCAAACGTCGGGTCGGAAGCCACACATGGCCATGTCCTATCCCATGACATCCCCACGGATGACGTCAGCGTCACGTGACATTAGACAACATGGCGGCGCCCGTCACCGTTCACAAAGCACCGGTAGTCTCCACCATCCCTCGATGCGGGAGACAGCTGATGAGCCAAGGACGTCAAGTAAGTAATTTCAACAATCTTTCGAAAACTTGGCCAAGAGGGCCTAAATTGTAATGGCAATAAGACTGTGTGGGCATGCGTACACATTGAGTACGCATGCCCACAAGTCCATAGTCAAATTTCGTGGAGCTGCTAAGCTTCTAATTCTGCAGAGCAATTTTGTTGCGCTAAGCAAAATTTGGCATAGTATATGACATGAGATATCTTTGCACGTTTCGTCTGCAATGATGTTCAATACTCGAGCAGCGTGACACACATGTTGGCTACTTTAGGTTGGACATCTCTCAAAAGAGAGGATGGAATCAAATCAACTAACATTCTCGTACAAGGTCATTTACAACATAGTAAACATTCAACCAGATCCACTGCAACCAAGTACAGGGAAAACAACTGCCAATGCAATGAAATCACCGCAAGAACCAATGTTTATATGCAATCTTTTCTACCAAGAACTGTGAGAAAGTGGAACAAGCTACCTCAAGATACCCCCAAACCACAATCAATTCAAATCCTTGATTTAGTTTAATTTGCCACTCTCCAAGCCTCAGACTTCTATGAGGACTTCTCAAGAAGATAACCACCATGTACAAAGTATAACATGCTGGTGTGACAAACAAACCTAAATCTGTGCTTAGCTGAGTTCTGTGCTGAGCGCTCCACGGAATTGGCCCCATATTCCCTGCTAATCTGAATCCACGGTAACCGTAAGCGTAAATATTGTGACTTTTTATGCAGGGTGAGTAAAAAGAAAGTTACCTGCATCAATGATTTTTCCCCCTTGAAAAGTAATTAAATTTGATACGCTTATGAAGCATGTATTAAACGAGTATGTTCTTCCACTCATGTGAAACAAAGAATTACTGAAGTTGATTCATGCTATTTTTTAAAGCTGTCCATGGAATGCTAAACGCTTTGAAGCTATTCAGCTGAGTGAGGAACAAGATGACATGCATTTAAATAGAAATGAGAATTCAAATAAATTTGAAACAGAATTTTTTATGTCAGATTTTGTGTTTTGTACACGAGGAACAAATCAAGTAAATGTCTGAATTTTGTGGGAAAACTCCATGGTTCATTGCATTTTTATTACCTGCGGGATAGCAGCTCAATAACATCAGTTCTTGTCTCTCCGTCAACATGCAGCATTTTACACAACTTACATAACACAGCAATGAAATTGATTAAGGCATGGCGCGCACTTGGTCACAGTGTCAAAAAAATGTTGTTGTGATCAACTGACCATTGTGCAGTGATGCGTGACTTAAATTCAATGAAACTTATAGGGGTTGAGGCCAAGGCTTAGGAGTATCTGCACAACCAAAATGTTCAAAGTTGACCTCATGGTTTTGTAGTTATTTTAAAAACAGTCAGACGGACATTTTTTTTTGAGGGGGGACATACTGTATGTAGACCTTTCTATCGCCGACGCTCGGTTGGCACGTTTTGCCAACAACGGGTTGCCAAATTATGGAAGGTCCAACACTGCAAAAATGAAGAATATTTATTACAGATTACAAAAATGTTATTTGATTGTAATCCAATATTATCAACTAACACAACAAAACACTCCCTAAACATGCCTTTTTCTCATGTAATGTGGGCGTTATGCATCTTTTTGGAAACAAAATCTGTTGTCAACCACATGTCCATTTATGTGCTTGTGGAAGCCCATACAAACTGACGCTCAATGTTACAAACAATAGAAAGGTCTAGAGCTCCCAAACCTATGTTCTTGAAACTCTGTGGTTCTTGAGTCTGGAGTGCTGAATGGTAGCACACATAGCAACCAATAGAAACAGGTGTGCAAATGAATATATGTTTAAATCGTATGACGTCAGCCCGCACCTATATGTGGGCGCTGATATTGGTGTTTTTTTCCCTTTTACATTGGCTTATCTATATAGCTCCCTAACCTTTGCTCTTGAAACTCTATGGTTCTTGAGTCTGAAGTGATACCGGTAACACACATAGCAACCGATGAAATCTGGATCGCAAATTATTGATCTTTTCATCGCATGACATCAGCCCGCCCCACCTAAAGCCACTTCTACGAGTTTGGACATGACTTTTGACATTTTGGCCCCCAAAACAGCCCCTTTTCAACAATAACGTCCCGGATCTTTGAGTGCTGACATCATTTCGAAGAATTGTCAATTCGCAAACCAGATATAAATAGATTTATTGTACGGATCATACAAAAGTTGAAATGTCGTTTATTCCAGTAAGTTTTAACACCGCCCTCTGTTGGTGAAGCTCTCTTGTTTTGATCGATAAACACTGCGTTGCCAAGGAAGTCGATTGGTTCTGATATCCGTGGCAGATAAAATGATGACGCCCTCTGTCGAGCAAAACTTTCCCGTTTGCCGGCATTAATATAATCGTGCTAAATACGGTTTGAAATCCGCCTGGCCATAATTTTGGATTCGTCAACTATTTTCGAGTCTACGTTGCTGCAGTTATGCAAAGAATTCTCTCTTTTTAAGATACCCCTACTCGATCCCGAATCAGCTAAGGGCAGGGCCAGGGTTTCTTAAGAATGATGTGGTTGTTGAAATCAAAGATTTTGCAAGGGGAGGCGGAGGGTGAGGGATGCAGAGTTGCAGACATGGCATAAAAAGAGCAAAGGCCTGAATCAACGAATCAAAGACTTATTCATTTGTTATTCAGGGAGAGTGTGGCCTAGTGGTTAGGGTTCGTGACTCATGATCAGAGGGGCAGGGGTTTGAATCCAGCCAGCTGACCGTGTCCTTGAGCAAGCCACTTTACCCCCACTTACCCCTCTCCATGCACCCAGAAGTGTAAATGGTATCGGCATTGCCTGGGGTATAACCTGCGATTGACTGGCATCCCATCCGGGGGAATATAATTACTATTCTCAGTCGTTACATAATGCCAAGGAAACCGGAGATAAACACCGGCGCGCCTGATGGGCTATATTGGCTAGTGACAGGGAACTTAAGTAAATTTGGGATATTTTTGTTTCCAACAGTTAACATTGGTTAGTCAGTGGTTGTGGATAACTTCTCTAATTGGATCCACCCTTGCGAAATTGAATGTTCAGGTCATTAACTTATATTCAATATCGATCCCTGCATTGCAAATATTTTCTCGCCGGACACGGAACCCAGTGAAAGTTCCCTTTTAGTATTCGCCAATTCCAAAGGGGCTCATTTCGGTAAAGAAATTAAAAAAAATTCTACCGCAGTTTTAAATATATTGTGTTTGAAACTGCAGTATCATATTATATTTTTTAGCCATGCATAAGTCTCTGACGTCATACTTCTGACGTCAGATTGTTCAAAGCCTATTCATAAAAAATTGCACGTATTCAGGGGATATTTTAATGCCGCGGATTGCTGCCCTTAAGTTGTTATTGGACAAGCGCAGTGACGCCTGGTTGACTAAGAACGATAGTACGATACTCTTTTTCCAGGGTCAATACCTTTTTTTTTTTACAATGAGAGTCAAAATTTATGCATTGACCTCGTGTTGAAAGGAACGTGCAGCGGCCTTTAACCTATTGTACAAAATCATGCAGAGTGGTTTATGGTAAGGGATGTTCGCCTAGCTAGGGACAGGGTGGGACATGGTAAGATTTTTTTAAAGTCAAAAGAATCGAACAGTCAGGACCCGAAATTATTAATAAGCAACCTTTTTGATCCCTACTCGCCTCTACTGAGGGACTCAAAACCAGTTTTTACTTGGGGAAATCGGCTCCCACTCAGAAACTTCTCTCCCAGTTGTTCCCATAACATCAGTTGACGGAGTTGTCCTGCTAAAGACGGACTTCAACTCTTCTAAGGGTGCAGGTCAGTAAATAGGCCCAACATTGCCTAGGCCGGCCAAATCACGATTTGCATACTCCCCAAATTCTCCGCGGTATTAGAACATTTTGAGGGCCATGAACTCGAGTGTTTAAAAAAGAAGGGTGGAAACAGTACAGAGGACTTTGAGCTCGTATTTCTGTGAAATTCGGATGAATTTAGGCCCTAAAATTGGTCCGGAGCGGAGGCATTCTTTGCTTTCGAAATGGCGATGGGCTTCAGGACAACTTTTAGGGTTGATCATCTTTGGATGGAATTTTCTACCAAAAGTCATTGGTTAACCCCACAAAAATTAAATTGAACAGACAATAAAAGACGATGAAATAAACTTTAATTTGATGCGTGTCTCAAACCCCTTGGGGAGTTGTGATTATTTTTAGTAATTTTTGGAAGTGCGCGTTATTATCACTGAGGTCTATGGAAGTCTGTTTACTGGTCTTCAACCTTAAAACAGTTAATCAGGGTTTTAAAAAAAATGTCGCAGATCGTGTGACAAGCACGCGCCTTGAGCAATGCATGATGGGATTGAAAATAGATCTGAACGACAAGCTCATTTTGCTCAACGAAATTCAAGATGGCTGGTCTTTCCGTAAATAAAAACCAGGATCAAATTGTTTCCTGTATTGATACTAGGAAATTTGGGTTAGTGACTTCTGTATCGATGACGTCATTCGGCTATTCAGATAAATCGGCCCATGATCAGGCGGCGTCCAAATTTCTTGGCTGTACGGCTTGCAATCATTATGATCTATGGTGGTGGCTGCAACCACTTTCTATAAACACGTGTGTTAGTGACGTGTGTTAGTTATTCAGACTCTCGTTGGATATTTCAATTCGCTTGAATTAATACTAATATACTGATTGCCTGATTCTTTAGTGATTGCAAGGAATTAAACATTTTACTTTCAGCTAGAAGTGTAGTATGGGACAAACCATAAGATATCCAACCACTTTTTTAATACGCTTACTCCCTCCTGATTCTTGCTCAACTTGTGACATGACATCACCACCGACACCAACCAGTGGTTTGTTGGGGTGTTTGTTGATTTGTTTGTTGGTTTACATGTTGATTTGTTTGTTCTATGCGCTTACCCCCTCCGGATTCTCGCTCAACTTGTGACATGCCATCACCACCCGTCAATCGGTTGTTTGTGTGTTGATTTGTTGGTTGGTTTACATGTTGATTTGCTTGTTCTTTCTCACGCTATGCGCTTACTCCTGATTCTTGCTCAGCTTGTGACATGCCATCACCACCCGTCAATCGGTTGTTTGCTTGTTGATTTTGTTTTGTTGGTTTACATGTTGATTTGCTTGTTCTTTCTCTCGCTATACGCTTACCCCTGATTCTTGCTCAGCTTGTGACATGCCATCACCACCCGTCAATCGGTTGTTTGCTTGTTGATTTTGTTTTGTTGGTTTACATGTTGATTTGTTTGTTCTATGCGCTTACTCCCTCCGGATTCTTGCTCAGCTTGTGACATGCCATCACCACCCGTCAATCGGATGTTTGTTTGTTGGTTTACATGTTGATTTGCTTGTTCTTTCTCTCGCTATACGCTTACCCCTGATTCTTGCTCAGCTTTTGACATGCCATCACCACCCGTCAATCGGTTGTTTGCTTGTTGATTTTGTTTTGTTGGTTTACATGTTGATTTGTTTGTTCTATGCGCTTACTCCCTCCGGATTCTTGCTCAGCTTGTGACATGCCATCACCACCCGTCAATCGGATGTTTGTTTGTTGGTTTACATGTTG